GGGGGGGGGGGGGGTGTTAAAAAATGATTTAGGAAGGGAAAGTAAAATAATTTTTATAGTATGAATTACTCCATGGTACTTGTAGATACATAGGTCAGTCAGGACTTGTTTTAAAGCTTTTTATTGCTTGTTATAAATATTTAAATAGTTGAAAGCCACAGTTCAAATTTAAGCAACACAGTATGGACCAGGACTTACCCCACCCTGTGACTGGCTAATGAAGGAGCAACAGCAGAGTGGCAAAGTTATCCCTCTACTAACCCTCCTGTAATCTTTTGTACAGAGTTAGACTGACTGTACTTTGTAAAACAGCTCTGACTGGCTTGGGGTGCTGTACCTTACTCTTCCATTCTGAGTGCTGCTGTGTAGGGGATTCCCCCAAAATCAAGACATATTTAAAATGACCCTGTCACAAACAGATAGTTATAAAAGAAGGCTAACCCTATAAGAGAGACCCAACTTATACTTATTTACTGATGTCTCATGTCACCATTTTGCTGCTCCTTGTCCGCTGCATGTATTTCACAGTTCTGGGTGTGTGAATACCTTCTCCTCCCGCCACACACAGTGTTTCAAACATGTATTTGACCATTCCAAGGAGTCAAATACTTGCAGTGGCTGGAGAGCAGTGAAGTATCAGCATTTCAATACACGGCTCATGGTTTGGTAAGTATTGATGAGCTTTTTTTTAAACAGGGTTTGCCTTCTTTTATGAGTGCCCTTTAACACTTGGCGCTAATGGCTGCCAGCTGAACGCTCCACTTTCTGTTGCATACTCAAAGTTTTCAACAGTTTATCACACAGACTTGAGGGGTTACTCATCCGAGGCCCTGGGGCTTCCACCACAAACATCGAAAACAAAAGGGAACAAAGCGCTACCTCCGTGTGTAAAATCGTTTATTAGGATAAATAAAACAAGGGATAAAAGTACTCACAAACGTTTTCATCAGGCTTTGACAACAAAAAAAGAGGCCACACTGTCTGTTAACCCAACGTGGTATCACCCCGACTATGCAACACGGTAGCCTCTGGTCACATCACCGTCCACCGGCCGCAGTCAGCCAACATTGACGCGTTTCAGGGGCAAGCCCCCTTTATCAGAATCATGTACAGTATTACATAGTCGGGCGATACCATGTTGGGTTAACAGACAGTGTGGCCTCTTGTTTGTTGTCAAAGCCTGATGAAAACGTTTGCTTGTGAGTACATTTATCCCTTGTTTTATTTATCCTAAATAAACGATTTTACACACGGAGGTGACGCTCTGTTCCCCTTTTGTTTTCTTTTATGAGTGAACCTGTGCTGATAGGGTCACTTTAAGTATACTCACTATACCCAACAGGCATCTACTCATTTATTTGAATAATTACATAAATGGATTACATGGTATTTTTATTAGCATAGAGTTCAGCTTCAAGAACAGAAGGGGCAAGTCATTATCCAATATTGTAATTCAGAATTTGTTTCATGTGTTCTGCATGTTAATCAGATCTGTTATTACCTGGCAAACTCATCCGTTCACAATTCAAGGATTACATTCTTGCACAATGTTATCACATACACAACCCTGCTTATCATGCCTCCTAAAAGCTGTCTTGTCTCGTTACATTAAAGTCCACCATTCATCCTCCAGGGACATTGTGAAAATCATTGCTTGACTATGCTCACTTTCTGGCATTTTAGCAAGTACAACTAAATGCTCCTGTAAAAAACAAGCACATTAAAACCGTTATTGGGACTACTGCCTCTCTCTCTCTCTCACTCTCTCTCCTCGCTCTCCCCCTCGTACTGTATCGCTCTCTTTCTCCCCCCTCTCTCTGCTGTCTCTGTGTGGGCCGGTTCACACCACAAAGTCTGTGTTCCAGAGCATTTGGCCTCTAGAACCCACTGGAACGCAAGCCGGCCAGCTCCCTGTGTTAAGGGGCGGGAGGGGGCGTGGTGGTACATTGAAGTCAATGGCACCGCAGCCACGCCCTCCACTCGCAGTGCGATCGCCCACACCCAGAACTAATGTGCCTGCATTCCGGGTGCGGGCGATCGCACTGTGGATTGACTTCAATGCACCACCACTCCCCCTTCAGCCCCTGAACCGGCCGGCTTGCATTGCAGTGCGTTCCATAGGCCGAATGCACTGGAACGCAGAGTTTGTGGTGTGAACTGGCCCTCTCTCTTGGCTGTCTCCTCTCTCTGCTGTCTCTTCTCTCTCTGCTGTCTCTTTTCTGTCTCTCTCTATCCTGTCTCTTCTCTCTCCTGTCTCTTCTCTCTCCTGTCTCTTCTCTCTCTGCTGTCTCTCCTCTCTCCTAGCTGTCTTTCCTTACCTGCACTGCAGCAGCTTCCCAGGTCTACTCTCACTTGTGCTGTCTTGTCCCCCCGCGGTGCTCATGTGGCCAACGCTGCAGATGGGGAGAGGTGTCCTTCCCCTTCCCGTCTGCAGCGTCTGACACATTCAGCCGCACTGGCACTGCAGGAGGGGGCTCTGGTCAGTGAGCTAATCGCGATCTAACGGCGTTCGCTTTGCGATCGACTGGTAGATCGCGATTGACCTAATGGGCACCTCTGTCTTAGGGGATCGTGAAGGATTTCCCCCCCCCCCCATGTTGGAGCAAATTGAATCAAGCTTTATGTTTTTTTTGCCTTCCTCTTGATCAACAGTGGGTAACTGTGAGCAAAAGCTACATGGAGGTTTTACTATTCTTTTGTTTTTCTCTTTAGGTTAAACTCAATGGACTTGAGTCTTTCTTCAACCTGACTAATCATGTAACCATGTATCTTATAATTAAGTGCTGTGGCACATCATTTTTTTAATGGGAGACTGTAGTTCTCCCAGTTTTCCTGAGAAAATTTAAATGCACAAATTATATCAACAGAGGAATGCACTTCTTCACATAATATTGGTGTATCAAAACCTTTTGTGAATCAGGCGCAAATCACACAAGTGAAGTCATGCAACTTTTTTTTAACAATTGCAAACATTTGGACATTGTAATTTAGTGAATCAGGACCTAGAACTATTAATTTGTTTCCTTATCCAAAGTATTCTGTTTTGCTGGTTTAGTATACAGCAGAGCCATTTCTGTAGAAGATACTGCTAACATAAGAGAGGAAGGAACACCAACACATTCATCTCACAGCATATTGGCAGACACAGTGTAACACATTTTTCAAAGAAAGAAAAAAGCCAGTGATCCTAATTTAAAATCAAATACATAGATGTAGAGCTAAAAGCACTCAATTGATGCATCAAATAGCAATGTCTATTAAAACTGAATTTATTTTACTCTGGAAAGTCTAATTTGGAGCTAAAACCTTCTTTTTAATTATAACCCACTGCAAATATAGTGACAGATAGTGATATAATAGCTTGCAATTAAATATTTAGTAAAAATGTTAAAACACAAACATTTTTTATGGAAAATCCCTGGGGCCCTAACTTAACTGAAAAATAAAAATTCAGGCAGCGAAGTTAATTTCACAGAGCTTAGATCTGTGATATAGGGCAAACTTCTGAAAGTCCTCATTCTAAAATATATGTGCCCATATCCATCAGAGGGTGTTGAGACTCTGCTGCACAATGTTTCCAGTGTGTCTGCCACCGCCTTTACGGCCAGAGCATCA